ATTTTGAACAATTTTACTTTATAAAAACAGATATAATGGTTCTTTTCAAGTGGTTTATAAAATAATTCTATTTATTACGCACGTGAATTTGACCAATAAACGGACTTTAGCTATGGTGATAAATGTGACAATGATCGACAGCCCACAGGTGATATAATTGAAGTGAGACAGATCGGCCCATATGATAATCGTGAAGATCGTCATGGATCATAATAAAATATTTGTCACCTTGCGTCACACCCCTCAACTGTTTATTTTTACTATGTATTCTGGGGACAGAATTTTTTCGGTAGTGAAATCCTATTTGTAGAGATTCAAATTGGTCAAAAATTTTGTATTTGATTAATTAATCGTTCATAAATTAATCATTGATTAATGACGATTTAATTCAAATTATCCAGATTACCCGAATAACTGATTAGTTGAACTAAATCATCAATATAATTATTTCATTAATTAAAACAAAAAATATATATTCGAATTTTATTTTTATTATCAGCAATAATAGGCTGTTCATTTCTGATCGTTCAGATTTTTGATCAGGTTTTAAGTTGATAATTATTGGCTAGCGAAATTGTGTAATTCGATTAGCAATCTGATTTTTCCAAACAAAAAGATGGTTGATTGAAATTTTTTGCGATCAGAAATCCCCAACTCAATTCTGATTTTGATCAAATGTTTGGATTGATTAACAGATTATGCAATCAAAAATCTGAATGATTAGAAATAAACAGGCTTAATGATAAATTATATTGTACTAATTATTCCAACTTGCTAATCACTATAATCAGATTTCTTCTGGAGAGAATCATACAAAACTTCATCACCCCTCCCATTTCACAGTCTTTTTGCAATATGTGTATCTGCATCAATATTAACATTTTCATTAAATAAAAGTTAAATCAGCCAAAATTCTTTAATCAGTTAATAATTAGTTAAAAATATTTGTTAACCAGTTAATTAACTGATTAAAATTAACTTAAGCCAGTATTATAAATTTGGCTGAAGTTAGACGCAATTACAAAAATTTTAATTCTGACTAGAAATTGAATTTCAGCTAAAGCTAAATTCATCTATTTTAACAATTAAAAAAACATTAATCAGTTAACATGTTAACTATTTTAACCAGTTCTAATCTCTATTATCAAATGAATCTTTTAGAATTATTTCTTGTTCTAAGAAATGTTATCATTATAATTTGCATCAAACATATTTTATAAAATAAAATTTGAATAAAAATTATATGGAAAAAAAAATTTGAAGTTGAAATGCCTTTCATTTTATTTAATTAATTTAAATATTGCATACCTATTAAACAATAGATCCAAATTTTTGAATATCTTATTAATTAATTATCTATTCATAGTTAGTGATAATTGATTAAATGGCTAAATAACCAGTTAATATTTTATTAATTAATCATCATAATCAGTTAAACATATCCAAATAATTTAATTACAATTTGAATAATTCAGTTCTCTACCTATTTGTCACATCTATATGTGTTATACAGTTAATTTCTTAATGCTATGATACCAGCATCTTTTTCAAGATCACCATCAAAAATCCTCAATTATGTAATTATAATAAAATATTTATCACATTATATTACACCTCTCAAGTTTTTATTTTTATTATTTATTCAAAAAATATTTTTTTTTGAGTAGCAAAATCTTATTTATCATATATATCTATTTATTATAGTTAAAATTAGAATTAGAATTAATTAGAATTAGTTAAAGTTAGTTAAAATTAGGTATTAGCATATTATTTATAATAATCTTAATGCTTGTCAATAAGTCACGTAAAGGTGAAATTTTTATAAGGTAAAGATCATCATAGTTATTAATCATATATAATGTTAATATTATCAAATCAATATTTTAAATCAAGTTATTTTCATAAATGATTAAATAAAAATATATATTACATAACATTCTTATAAAAAAGAAGTTTTTAAAATAATTAGAATAAAAAACCTTTTATATATATATAAAGATGGTTCTCATAATTATTTTTAAATTTTAATTGAGTTGCAACTTAATTGCACTATAAGAAAATTTAATTGCATTATAAGTTGCAACTCAATTGTACTATTTTTTGTAATTACAGTGATCATCTTTATATATACAGTTAAATTAACATAAACTAAAAATTGAAAAATTGAAAAATTGAATGAAAAATATTATTTAAGTGAATCAATTTAAGATATTTAAAAAAAATAAAATGATATTTTGAAGAAATACTTAAGAAAAATATGATACAAAATATTTAATTTTTACATTTAAATTAATCAATGATTTTGATTTATAAAAATCTATTGGTCAAATTAAATCTTATATGTTATTATTATTTATTTATTATTTTTATCATAGTTAAATTATATTTTATCTCTTGTATTTATTTTAATATTATAAATTAGTTTATATAAAATAACATTAGATAGTAATTTTCTTATAATTATATTTTTATATAAATAGGATAAAAAATTATTTTTGTAAAAGGTAGTAATAATAGTGATAACTTATTAGTTTAAGTTAAAGACTTATAATCTAAGGTTAAAGATTGTTAAGGATATAATCTCTATAATAAAAGGATCTCTTTCTAAATTACACATATGGAAAGTAAATTATTAAAATTATGTACAGATCATATAATTACTATATTTGTAAACTCAATTTTAATAGCAAAATTTTCATATATTAAAATTTTTTAATATATCAATGTGTTTAGTATTCTTATAATTATTAAAATTATTTATTTATCTAAATTATAAATTTAAAGTTGATTGTAATAGGACTTATTTTAAAGTAACTTAGTAATTTCTCATATGTTACTTACTATTATTAAATTATTATTACTCTAAGTTTAACAAATTGATTATAAGATTAATAATATTAAAAGTTTGAACAAAATTTGATCTATCTTATTTATAGTTGATTGATATTTGATTAACATACATTAAAAATTAACTAAAATATATTAAAATAAATAAAATTTAGAAGGAAATATAATTGATATTTTATATTTTAAATTATAAAATTTATAATAAAAATATCTAATTTATTTTTACAAATAGAATTTTTATTAATTGGATTAATAGCCAAATATTTTTATATTTTATTAGGTTGAAATTTGATAGTTTACTAATATAAGTAAACTTAAATATAAAAGTTAATTCGAAATTTGTGTTATATGAAGTGATCCAATATAGTAAATTTTTGGGCGATCATTATATGATATGCTCTTAATCGGTTAACTTAAGTGATACATTACACAGATTTGGTGGCTTTGACAGTATACCAAATTTGGCAGTAAATTATAATTATTCTCTGTCTAGAAAATAAAAAAAATTGGTAAAATTTTATGCTATTTTGATAAAGTTAACTATGGAGAACAGTAGCATTTGAGAGTTTAGTATAATAATTTCAAAAATTGTTTATTTAAATTTTTAAAAGTAAAAAGTTTACATTCTCATATTTTCAACCTTTTATTACTTCCAGAACCTTCTCCAGCATTTTCTGACTTTTCAGCCGCTTCTTTTTTTATCTGTTTAGAATATCTGCTTATCCATCCCTTAATGGTTTGTACCTTTGGAATTTTATTTCTATCTATTTTCCCTTTATCTGCCAAATTAACCAACTCATTATACATATCTTGTTCAGAGTAATGGTCACTTTTGCTGACATTTCCTGCTAAAAAGAACCTTTGTAACAAAAATACTATTTCTTTCGAAATTCGTGTACTAGTACCTTTACGCCCAAACTTTTAGTTTTCTTTAAGTGCTCATCCTAGCTGTAAATATGCATTTCTTTAAAAATGATTGTAAATGTAATGGTGTGATATTAGAACTATATTTTATGAAAAAAAAATACATTACGTTCAGAGTCACAATAACCTATGAATTTCTGAATCCATAAGTAGTTGCTCTTGGTTAGAAGGCAAAGAAAGATTAATTGAAGGGCTATTTTCGTATGATAATTTATTATTATCTTTTTTTTCAGAACTTGGGTTAGGTTTAACATTTTGATAATTAAAAGCTTCATTTAATTGTGTAGTACATGTTTTGCCTAGAATTTGTAAAATAATGTTAATTTGATGTTTTAGATGGATATTAAAGTTAGTCTATTTTATTACTAACCCGTTATTGGTTGTATTTGATTGTTTTTGTTAAAAAGATGAAGTTGAAGTTGAGATGCTAAATTAATTCGACTAGTGTTTTCTTGGTAAACAATATTCTCTTCGTCAAGTTTATTTTTCAATACTTGTTTTTTAAATCTGCGTGGATCTAATTTGTAATCTTTATGATAATTAACAGATCAAGTTTGATTATTCGAAAGAAATAAGAAAACAATAAAAAATTTATTTGAAAGAATTATCAATGATATGGTAAATTGTATAAATAATACACCTGATCCATATGGTTTAGGCATCGTCCATGATAATAATGGTGTTGTAAGAGTTGATGTTTCTGGTGTAGGCTTAATAAACTGTACTAAAGAATAATAAATCTATTTTCCAATATTTGGTAATGCTCGTGCTTTTACCCATCCTAAATGTTCATCATCCTTTGGCCATTGCCATTCATATAAATTTGATATTCCCGCTAATGTTTTAGTAGTTCCTTTATTTTTTTGACGGTCAGGTATTATTTGTGCAACAGAAGTACTACTAAGATTAGCAATAGCTGCTTATATATCTGAACCTTCTTTAAGATCAAAACCCACACGAACATATCGTTTAATAGCATGTGCGATCTGTTATAAAAAGTAATATTATTAATTACAAACAAATAAATAAAAATAAAATTTACAAATTAACTGTAGAGTTTAATAACATACTGATGCATGATGAGAATCTACTGTTGTCTTCGCTTCTCCTGGCTCTAAAAATATCCAACTTTTTACATCAATCTCATACCAGTCATACCAATGCGCTATAAGCATCATCAGTTATGAATTGTGGTAATGAGCTCCATTATCTGACATTATTTTAACCCATTTTGATTTACGCTCCATTGTTGTAAATACAGCATCAAAACAATTTGCAGTAAACCAAGCGTCCTGAGTTCCATCTTCTGACCAATGATCATATGCGTGAATATCAAGATTGTCATCATTACTATTTTGAAATACTAGTATTGTATGTAGTGTTCATCCAGATTTTCCAAAAAATTCTTCTTTTGTTTCTCATGCACTTTTTTTAATATCTTCATTTTATAATCAGCAACTATTAATGCGCTATCATCATTTAGTTCCAGTAAAGAAGCTTTAAATTGAGCATTTAAATATATCTTACGAGTTTGATAAGCAAGATAATAAATCAGCTGATCTTGATATTGTCCTAATTGTTCAAAAAAGTCAGTTCCAAATTGCACTCTAAGTTCGTCAAACAAATCAAAAAGCTGAAAACATTGTGAACATTTTTGAGAATGTTCTAATTTACAATCACCAAAAGCAAATAATAGACAATGATTGATACATTCATTATGAGTGATAATGTCAAGCTCATTTACATAAAATTCTTTTTCATAATCTCGCTTGATATATCTTTGAATTTTTTCAATTTTTTGAATCAAATAATTTTTAAATAAAGAAAGAAATTATTAATAAAAATGGAATAAATGCAATAAATTTATAAATTTTATAAATTTTACCTGTATATTTTTATTTGATATATGCATATTAACAAGCGCACATAAATTCTCAAATACTTGATAATCATATTCACTACATATAATACATAGCCCTTCTAAATCCTCATGATATCTAAATGGACTATCAGCAAGGCGTGCCATAAATGATGTTCGCTTCATACCATCAGGATAAATTTTAAAAAATTTATGCCACAATACTTCCTTTTGATCTTTAAGATATAAAATAGGTAAATTTGTTTTTGGATCGACTTTATAAGAACTCATAGCAACATTTTCTCTATCAGAAAAAAATCTCTCAAAATGTTGATTTTTTATTACGCTCATCTTAGTTCGTATTATTATTAGTCTAATCATACAGACTCCCACTAAAAGTCTCCGAACGCTTTTTGGCTCAATATAAAACTTAAATTTTTTAAGTTTAATTAAAAAATATTTATTAATATATTTATTAAAGTACGATATGCTACAAATTTGGTACTAAATAATTAGTACTTAGTCAGGCCTCCATTTGCTTCAATTACAGCCCGAATTCGCTGCAGCATACTATCGACCAAATTTTCGATAGTTTTTATCAGAATTTGATTCTATGCCTTTATAACATGTCGTTCGAGTTGAGCAAGGTTGAAAGGCAAATTTTTCCTTTTACGGATGCTTTTCTTGACTTCGGCCTATAGATTCTCAATAGAATTGAGATCTGGACTTTGAGCAGGCCATGGAAGTACGCGCAAACCATTTTCTGTATGAAACTTCTTTGCAAGTTTTGTTTTGTGAAGGCAAGCATTATCCTCTTGGAATATGCTATCATAGTTTGGAAATGCACGTCTCATAGTTAGCATGACACGTTTGTGAAGAATGATAACATGTGTAGTACCAGTGACTGTTTCTGTTAATGAAACAATCGGTCCTAAGCCTTGTCTCGAAAAGCAGCCCCAAAACATCTGGCTAGGGCTATATTTCACTGTGGCTGAAACACAAGAAATGTTCCATTTTTCATGAGGTTCACGCCACACTCGACTACAACAGCTTTGTTAGAATTGTGAAAATGTTGATTCATCACTTCACATGACCTTCGACCAATCGTCTTTTGTCCAACTTTGGTATTCCAAACACCATGCAAGACGTGTCTCAACATTTTTTAGTGTAATTAAAGGCTTTCGTCAAGCAAAACAATTGTTTAACCCAACTGCACGAAGTGTCCGACCAATAGTCCGAGTTGAAACATCTTGACCAGTCTTTTTTTGCCAGAGTTGTTCAACTTCTCCAGTGCATAAGCAATGATTTTTTCCTTTATCGTTGGTGACAACTCGCTTAAGCCGCTTTCGCTGCGAACCTTTAATTAAGGGCAGTTGACCAGAACGAAGCTTAGAATTAATGGTTCCGGTGTTATCCATCCTCTTTAAAGTGTCAAAAACTGTTGACAATCCACAACCGATAGTCACGGCAATAGTTCGGTAACTATTGCCACGTTAGCGGCAAAAAATTATGCCTCCGCGTTGTTCTGTTGTTAATTCCTTGGACATTTTCGTTGTTTTGGGAAGACAAAGTTTATTTTGATTAAAAATCAAAATAAACAAACTAAACACGCATTTATTTGGTTTGATTCAAGTAAACAAAGGTCCGAACATCACATGACTAAAGTATTATGCAGTCACGCGACGTAATCGGTATTAAATAGCCTCTGAAAGATAGCGTTCAGAGACTTTTGGCGGGGTCTGTAGGTGAACAGCCTGGCCTATTAATTCTAGCAAATTTACGTGATGCATTAACTAAATTCGATGATACCTAATCAAATAATAAATAGATAATATTAATTTTGAAACAAATGTTATGATCGTTAATACTATTTTTATACATACCTTTAATTTATCGTTAAGTTTACTATAACTAAATTTTTCAGCTATTATAGATAGA